AATAGAAATCCACTATCACAATGAATATTAAAATTTTGGATTACAAGAGATTATACATATCTCTAAACATTAGTAAAAAAACTCTCACCGATCTTCCCTTCTAACCTCGCACTCTTGATCAAGCAACACCGTCGATCAATATTTTCCCATTGCTATACTGCTATTAGAAAGAATACATTGAGAGCAACCCAGAGACTTTCTCTCTCTAAAAGTGGAAACTTAAACAACCCAAAATCTCATGGGGATGCCGCCTCTCTCTTGGAGGCCCAAAATCTCATGGGGATGCCGCCTCTCTCTTGGAGGCTATGTCTATCTCTCTTGGAGACCCATCTCCAACTCGAATATCCCATCCCATAGACTCCAAAGTGGTGATCCTCAAAAGGATGGGTGCCTTCTTTGATTTTCTTATATAGATATTACTTTCTTACTTCTTAAGAAAGTCTCATTTCTTTTTACCATAATAACCTTAATTTTTAGAAGAAAATATGAGTATGGCGATTTGGACTATCACCAAACCTAACAATTTCCACTTTGATAGCAAAATCATCAAATTCATCTTGTCAATCTTTCATTAAATAGATTCTTGATTTCTTCATACTTACCTCTATTGTGGAATTTTCACGAACCTTTTGCTTCTATTGTGAAATTTTCACAAACATTTTTCCTCAATATTTCTCCACCTCAAATTATGTATCCATTAAACTCCACTATCCATCTTTTTCTTGATATACTCCTTAGCCCCGTACACACCTTGTGCTTTGATACTAATTGTAGGGTTCTTGGAAACTCTTTGCTGGCAGACCCGAGAATCCAAATGTCGGGATCTCACCCAATGCAAAGTAGATAAATACAATTATAAATCAAGTGTAAGAAATGAAGTAAACATGAAAGCACACCACCACAACACATGATTTACATGGCTTACCCCGTAGGGCTACATCCACGACCTCGGCAAATAGAAATCATCTATCATAATGAATAGTTCAATTTTGAGTTATAAAAGATAGTACTTCTCTCTAAACATCGGTAAAAAAACCCTCACTGATCTTCCCTTCTAAACCTGCTTTTTCGATTGAGCAATACGGTCGATCAACATCTTTCCCACCTTTATACTGCTATCGGAAAAAACACCTTGAGAGCAGCTAAGATACCTTTTCTCTCTAGAAGAGGAAACTTAAAGAAAATCCCATAAAGATGCCGCCTCGCTCTTGGAGACTATGTCTCTCTCTCTTAGAGGCCATGTCTCTCTCTCTTAGAGGCCTATCTCCATGTTAAAAATCCATCCCATAACTCCTAAAGGGGTTATCTTCAAAAGGATGTGTATTATGTCTTCCTTGATTCTCTTATATAGATATTACTTTCTTGTTTCTAAAAAAAATCCATTTTCTTTTTACCATATTACCCTTAATTTTTAGAAAAAAATATGCGTGTGGTAATTTTGACTCTCACCTAACTTAACAAGAATGAGAGAGAGAGAGAAGGCAAGTAGAGAGAGATGGTGGGTAGAGAGAGGGAGAAAAAGACTGAGAACGAGAGAGGGCGAGTAGAGAGAGATGGCGGGTGGAGAGGGAGAAAAAGACAGAGAGAGAATGAGAGAGAGAGGGCGGGTAGAGAGAGAGAATAAGAGAGGGCAAGTAAAGCGAGAGATGGTGGATAGAGAGAGGGAGAAAGAGAGAAGGTAGGTAGAGAGAAAAAGAGAGAGGGCGGGTGGAAAGAAAGAGATAGAGAGAGAGAGTGAGAGAGATAACATGTAACCAAAAAATTGAAAAGGGGAAGAGAGAGGAAAATGATATTTTTTTCTCAAATTCATTGACTCTTTTATTGGAGTAATAATAATAATAATAAATACTATTGTAGTCTAGGGTGTAATATAAAAAATAATGGAGGCTAGGATGTCTAGAAAGTTGATTTTCGAGGGTATCTATAATTTTCCATGAAAAAAAAAGGATTTCGAAAAAATATATATAACATGGGTATTTTAGAAATAAACCCAAAAGATGGCAAGTATTTATGGCCAAAAACACTTTTCAATCCTTGCCAAAATGATAGAAAACATAAAAATATATATTAATTTTTTTGGATTATATATAGGAAAAGTATACAACAAGACCATTTGCCATTGGGATAGTTACTTGCTTAAAGCTTGTTCGTTCCACCAAAATCAAAGATTGTATAAAATGCAGAAGTTGTAGGGTTCCGGCGCTATGATGCCGCAATCTGACATAAGTTGCATGCAGTCCGGCCGTTAATGTGGTATGAGTTTCGGTCCAGCAGTAATATGTGCTGGGCTCTCTTTGGTGATTGAGCATCTACGGGAATGTGGCACCTTCATGTTCTAGCAAGAGTATTTTTGTCCTCCAACTATGACTTTTTTTAGTGCGGGGTTAGGGGTTTGGTCTTTGCTATAAAAATCAGTTTTGGGGTAAAAGTTGCCATAAAAAAATTGGTTTGAAGAAGGTTGTAAAGAAAGTTTAGTCAATGGGGGTTTTTTGTAAATTTCCTTATTTTTAAACAGCCCAAACAAATATTTCACATTGTTGTTGCTCCAATTTGAATATGATAGTTATTGCTCCAATTTGTGAATATGCATGACCAAAAAAACAGGACCATCTAACCAGTAACTGCCTGGTTAGATCGGAACCGGCTCCTTGCCGGTTAAGGTTTTGGACGGTCTTGGTGATCAACCGATATTTAAAAGAAAATTCAAAAAATATATATAAAACCTCAAAAATAAGGCATTTGATTTGTAATATATTTTTTAATATTCTTTACATTATGGTAAAATTTTAAAATTTTTTTGGACATTAATACTCACTTTTATATTTTCCTATCTTTTTCGAAAAAAATTTAAAATACCCCTAGGCACAAATCTATTCTTTAAATCTATTTTTTTTAATTAACTTTCAATTTCATTTGAATGTATTTTGTTTTAATCATTATTTATATGCTTTTCATATTTTAGTAGATTTTTTTTGTGTATGTTTTTTATTTTTTCAACAATTTTTTGAACGCCCGGGACTTGTCCGGTTAGAACATTTGAATCAGCAGATTAACCGGTTAGGCCGATTAAACTGCTTCCGTCCCCATATCCGATTAACCGTTCTGGTTCGATTTTTGCGTCTACTGCGCATAACTAATGTGACTTGATGTTAAGAATAGGACTTGAGCGTGAGTAATTAGCAGTTGATATTACCATTGCTACATTTGAAATTTATTTAGTACTGCTTAAACAAAAACAAATTACTATTTAATGCCATTGATTTGAAACCACCCTTCACCCAAGACCACATGAAAGCTCGTAAAATCCATCTACCATCGCTGTGAGGTTATTGTTGAGTTGCAGAAGATGGCTAATAAAGCAATGGCTTCCACCTCTTTCATTCTTACCCCATGGCTTTAATAACGTGCGTATTAGCGATTCTAAGCACACTCCCAAACACAACCTTATCAAGATAAGGAATGGAAATCAAATATAACATGTCATTGGCACAAGCCCCCTTTCTAAAGTACTGATTTTAGAGGCAATCGTTCTATGAACGATGATCGTCAGAGAAAGAGAGCGAAAAAAAAAAAAAGTTCACAACTTCTAAATAGGGGGAAAGGTTTCTATACTTCCCCATATTTATGCTTTCCCTGCCATCCAGCGGTCCAATTTTCATCAAGAGAGCTACTCACTATTTGATCTTAGATCCGACATCTCAAAGCATTTTATTTTTTAGTTTTTTTTATACAAATTGTATGAATATAAAAGTTGGTACGTGCCATATTTTCAGTGGGGTGCACCTATAAAAATATTAAAAATAATTTTTTGATAAAATATAATGATCAAAATACCCTTCGAAACTTTCGGGGTGTTGTTTTGGTTATTTTATTTTATTGAAAATATTGTTTTGTATTTTTCTCTAGTGTGAGTTTAAGAGAGGATTGGACGTACAAAATTTAGTGTCAAAAAAGTTTATAGAGAAAAAAATTAAAAATAAAATAGTGTAAAGATGTGACATTGTGATCGGAGCAATCTTAACCCTCCATTCAGAATGGACGGTTGGATAAGGGGAAATATATAACTTTTATGTTGTAGGAGAAGCATAGAAAGCTTGCCCTTAAATAGGTTATCATACTGTAAGTAAATGGAAGGAAGATAACTTAACCTGAAATGCTTTCACCTATAGTCTGAGAAGGCATGGCAGCCTCTTGGGTGGAATTGTGAGGTGTCTACAAACCCGGGATCATAAATGGATTTGGGTACCATTCTGATAGCCTCTTTCATGATCTTTTCTATAAGTAGAAAAAATACATGGTCCTCAACTTTATATATTCATACTGTAAAAGGGAGCAAAGCTTGTGTTTTTCTCCCTCATTAATAGGTCTGGGACTCTCTTGCCGTCGTGGACGAAACGAACTAGAGAAGTGCATAAACACGGAGCGAGCCAAAGAGTGGGCGGTACAAAAACCCTTATTCTTATTGGGCGCTACAAAGGACGCCTAATAAAATTGTGGATTAACACATTACCCCCCACTTTTGGCAATTACTTCTAGCAACAATATTGTTTTTCCTTGTTTTTATTTGGATGATTAGAAGCTAAATTCACCGCAAGACTGCATATTCAAATATACAAGATTATTCCCCATTCTCATATATTCACCATAGTCGACAAGTCTGAAATTGCATAAAAGAAATAACAAAATAGACAAAGATGAGAATAGAATAGTTGATGGTTTTTTTTTTTTATTAATATTATTTTAGTTTCACTATAGGAATCGAATTTGAGATGTAACATTACTAAGTATTCTTTACATCTTCGGGCCCGAAAAAATTAAACCCCAAGGACACATGACACTATAAAAAATAAACCATTACACTTCAATTAAGAGAGAGAGGTTCAAAGATATACAAACTCCTCATCAAAATCAAGCACCAACAAACCAAAACATAAATCAAATCCAATCCAATCCACTAAACCATAAATCTCAAAAAAAAAAAAAAAAAAAAAAAAAAAAACCTAACAAATATCTACGTTGCATTCTGACCCCTGAAACGCCTTTGAGGCGACTACCGGCACCGTCGACATGCAGGAAACCCTCAACTTATAATTCCTGGATTTCCATTTTCCCACCTTAAATTGAACTTTGCCTCTCACATTCACCTCCAATTCAACCTGTCCTGATCTTTTCTCCAGTCTCAAATCGCGTCCTGTGCCATCCTGCACCCAAACACCCTCTCCTCCAGCTTGCATTCGTATTTCGGTCTCGTTTCGCTGTGGTTGGAAGAACCCGCTTATGGTTCCCCAAGCTATGGTGTGGCCCTCGAACGACACAGACACCTCTAAGGTGTCGTAGTAAACTGAGACCCTCTTGTTGGGGTTATCTGCTCTCATTACGAAATCGAAGCTCGAGTTGAGCCTGTCATGCTTGAGCCCGAAACGCTGGGCTGACGCACTTTCAAGAGAGTAGGTGAGAGTTGCAGGTCTTATGATGAGCCACACCGTGAGCACCGATATGCCAAGCGCCACAACTACTGCTAGTAGTGCTAGCGCGCAGCATCGCACCATCCTACCTCGCCCACCTCGTGGTTTATCCCCAGCATCCACTGGCATCATCTCTCTAGCTCTTGCTCTCTCCCTCACCCTGGTTCTGTACTCTATAGCTCTTGCTCTCTCACTCTCCCTGGTTCTGTACTCTATGACTTGTATCTATCTCAGGATGTATGTATATGCAGCACTCTTTCTTGTTCTTTGTTTTTTTTGTGCTTCTCTCTTTTTTTTTCTTTTTTCTTTGAGAGAATAAGTGTCGTTTTTTTTTTTTTTTTAAGAGAATAAGTGCTTCTTTTTCTCTCCTCTCAGTCTTAGATGTTTGTTGGCGTGCAAGTTCTTCTATATAGGAAGCTCTAAAGGTGAATATACGAAACTTGCCATTGGAGGGATTTCTTGTTTAAAGCTTGGCTGTCCACCAAAAGCAGAGATTGTATAAAATGCAGAAGTTGGCCATCACTTTTCCTTTGTGCGTGTGTCCTTGTTATATCTATATCCTTAAGAGAAACCCATTTAGGGAATAGGAGAAGGATGCGGTATTAATGAATGATCAATATTTTGGACCTTATGTTAATGTTTTAATTTTTTTAAAGAATTTTTCCCTGCCTGTTTTATCTTTAATTCGATAGTCTTTCTTGTAAGCCCAAATAAATATTTTACATAGTTCTGTAGTTGGACTTTCAAACTACCTAAATACGTCAGTCTTTATGTATTTTGGGTGTTTCAAAAATCATAAATTTAACTTTCAAAAGGTAATTTATAGACTTTGTAGTCATATATCATCTTTGATTCATAAATCAGGTCTATAGTAACAATGCTTTTTTGCTCATGATTGTTAATTTTTATTTTTGGATTGGTGATGGCACGTATAACTTATTGGCATTATGATAGATTCTCAAAGAGCGGGCATCATTTTGATCGACGTCAGCTCTAGAACAAGCTCCTGGGATCGTAAAAGGGGATGTGTGCCAATGAATCTCAACCCTTCTTTCTAAATCTCTTCTCAAGAAAATGGGAAACTAATTGTTAAAAAAAAAGAAAAGAAAATTAAAAACTAAAAACAGCCATATCAAAAACGAAAAACATGTTAATTCTATTTCATAAAATAGCTTCTCACGTGAGAGAAGGGAATAAACACAATGGAGTATTTTATAGGCTTCCAATGCCCGCTTTATTTAGCTTGGGTTTTACTTTTCCTTTATTCTTTTTTCTTTTTCCTCTTTCCTCTTTCTATATATTAATATTCACAGTTAAATAAGGATCTTTGTAGGAACATTTTTCTCCTTTAATTGGATTGGCGTGCAAGCCATCCCTCTCTCACCTTCTAGTTCACAACCAACTAATTTATGTCCCACTTTTCAACTTTTATTTTTTTGAAATTTGCTTTTGTCTTGTTCAAGAATGTAGGGTTCATCCTTACCTATATTTCTACTTTTCTGATTCATATCCTTAGATGTTTTCTTCATGGCTAGCAATTTAAAACAAAATTTTTGAAGGATAGTCTATTTTTCATTTAAAATGTTTTAAAATGCATAATATTGGATATGACCACAAGAAAATAAAGTTTTGAAGAAAGCAAAATATTACTATACTTTATCATTCCTATAAAAACATTTCCTAAAGACTTAAAATTAGTAGTTTTCTTTGTTAGTTTTATCAATTTGCAATTGGATGTAACTCCACTTGAGCAACAACAAGGTATTAATTCTGGTTTATTAGTTGTTTACCTACATGGTTAAGTGAAATTGTTTGTTTTACATTATAAGTAAATATTTTCCACTTTAATATAAACAGACACATATATTCTAATTCTTATGCTTTTAAAATTATTATTGAACGTTGAGAGATGTAATTTTGAATCTTTACATGTTAGAAGAAATTAATGTCACTCAATTTTTTTTTTTTCAACGTAATCTTCGTTAGTGCAGTAGTACGATTGCGAAAACATATTTTGTATAATCCTCTATAGTCCCCGTTCCTTTTTCCTTTCTTCCCCTTTGCTGTTTTTTCAAAATTGTTGGGGAAACTTATATTTTCACTAAGGAAGTTATGTGCTTTAAAACTTGTTGTGACCGAATTCTCATATTGTTTTTTTTGAAAGAAGGACTTGTGTGATCTAACCAGAGTATATAATAATTTATTTATTTTTCAATATTTTTTCTTCTCTTCACGATCTAGATCACGCACAAGTAGTCATTTTACAATATACTAAGTTCAAAAAAAAGAAAAAAAAAAGAGAAGAAGAATACTATAGGAGCTTGAAGCTATTCAAAACCCACTTTTCATTAACAAAGAAAATATACAAGAGAAAGCTATAAACAAATAACCAAGAAACAAAAGAGGGTGCCGAATATTACTTCAACCGGGTTTCTTACACCCCACACCGAGTCACCATCTTCCGATGGCGCATGATCTAATGGGCAACCTTCAATTTCACTCAGGAAAGCAAGTTTGGACAAGCCACACCAATGGAAACATGAGATGAGAGAGAGATGAGAGATAATGAGAGACCACATGAGAGAAAACATGAGATGAGAGAGAGTGGGGTGTACCCCCCTTTTAAGTCTTTCAAGAGAGAGTGAAACTTTCTTAAAAGAGAGAGAAATTGCTTAGAGTGGGGTGTGCCCCCTATGGGAGTTTTAGGGGAGAGGGATAGAAAGTTATGAGGTGTAGAGATAAGGTGTAGAGATTTTGGGCAGGGTACTTTCCTTTTTATAGTGCTTAAATAGAATTAGGGTTTCTTAGGGTTTTCCTTGACTTGCCACTCATGTGAGATTGAATATACACCATTGATCTTGAGTGACTTGTGAGATGAGAGATATGAGCTCTTCATTCTATATATAGGCCATCACTATCCCATAGAAGGTGCTAGACCATTATCTTCCACTTCCTAAACCATTTCCCCATCAATTAATTCAAATAAAAAATTAACATATTATAATATTATACTTTCTTATTTTATGCATAGGCCTTCTCATACATATCAAAATATCATTCAAAATTTCCTCAAGTCTCAAGCTTACTTAAAACAACATATACTTATCTATCAAGCTTTAGAGCTTGATCTCCACAAAATAGAAGGTTTCTATAGGAGGGGCATGCCATCTATTTGGGCACATAATGGGCCCCGTCCAAGTTGCAATGGTGGGCCCAAAAGACCTATGGGGTCTTCTATGCAATTATGCTATTTTTATATTTTTTAAAAATACAAAAAATTATTATTTGAATAATGAAATCATTATAAAATCAATATATATGTTTTTGTAAATCCAAATTTGATAAATAAAATATCCAAAGATTTAGAAAAATGTAAATAACAATTATAAAAATCAATATTATTAAAATAAATAAAATTAAATACTTTGATGGGAAAATGATCAATATGGTTTAGGAATAAATATCTGTTGGGGCACTCCATGTCCAACCGCGAACTACGAACCATATATGCTTTCTCAAACCGACTCAGCGATGTCCATGACCCACAATCCATGCAGGACATCATTAGTGGGTCACCAAAGTCTAGCTAATGGACAAGGGGTTGCAATCCCAGTATATGGATTTCAGGTTCCCCTATAGACAAAATCAAAGTCATCCTAACTTGATGCAATCCATAGCTCGATGGTGCACAAATGAGTATCTCTCGCACATATACACTCTTCATTATGAAACGTGGTACACTTTTCCGAAAACAACTATCGATGTGTATGCCGTGTCATGGTACAAATAATGAGGGTTTGGCTCTATCTCTTAAGGCCTCTATCACACACGAGGGTCATATAGTCCATTGGCTCCTTCATCAGGGCATACTCCGACCTCATCAAGGAATAACCCATATAATCATCATCGGTTTGTTCCTCTTAGCCCAAGTAACATGGGTTTTCTCGAGAACCAGACCGACCTAGCACGTCAAGTATAATCCAGTATCAACAAACATCGTTTGCTTAGTATAGTCCACAAATGACTATACTCCCACTAAATTCATGTTCTACTATATAATTTCATTTTACAAGCACTTATAAGGCCTTTAACGACCACACTCACCAAACATTTTCTTCATTCACTTTTTAGTATTTAAAATTGTTGTACTCTTTACAAAAACGGAAAACGAATACCATTGTTCTTAATATATTTTATATTTTGTGTGATTTTGTTATGCTTTTTGAAAATGTGAGGCAGCTTCAAGTATAGATGCGATCCTTTCATTGTAATGTGCATTGAAGTTTTCTATTTCAACCTAAATTGAAGTGTTGTTTTCCAACAAAATTATTGAATTTTCATAGTGCGCTATTCAGATTTTTTATTTATGTAATAGAATTTTATTTTTTGTTTTTTTCCTAAAAATGATTTTTTTAAAAAAAAGATTATACCGACCTTGTACTGTAAAGTGTACCTTAAAACTATGTCAAAAATGCAGTTTCTGCACCGCAAAATCTTGCAATGATATAAAAATCTATTGTTTTCTACAATTATAAAATGGGAAAGTATACAATGAGACCATTTACCGTTGGTACAAGGTGCTCGCATTAATCTTGACCATTGGATGTAAATTTGGGTGGCTACAATTATTACATTGACCAAATTCAAATTTCAAAAGAAATTTTCTTGAATTTTGTGACACATCTAAGCTATCAAATTTCACATCAGATGGTTGTAAATAATTGTGACTACCTTAAACAAAAGGTAAATAGTCTCATTGTATACAATTCCGAAAGAAAATTTAAAATTCTAAAAATAGTGACGATCAAGCAGATCTATAAACACTTTGAAAATCTTGAAAATGGATAGTCCAGATAATGTGTTAGAAGATGAACTAGTTTTAGGACTAGAGTACAGTAACAAGTATCTAAGATTGGTAATGGCCAAGTGGCCCTACCCTATTATATGATATCTTTGACATGGGCCACAAAATTCGGCTAGAAGGGCGACCGAGCTTGAAAGGCGGGTTGGGGCTCTGTTCAATCGTCCCGCTCATCCTAGCCCAACCCGTCTTGGGTTTATTTTTCTTTAGGAAAACTTTACTTTGTAAATTGGCTTAACCCTGTCTGATCCTCACCATTAACATAGCTAGGCTGGGCAAGGCCACCAAGCCAAGACCCAGGCCAGGGGCCCTTTAGCCAAGACCCGGGCACGCAATGCATCTAGGGTCCCACGGCAAGTGCAGGTCCAGCCGTATAACCACCCCTTTACCATGTGCCACTTACCTCTTTTCCTGCTTCCTTCTGTCCCTATTTCCCCAATCCT